TTGAGAGCTTGTTCTCATTTGAATACCTTTCTAAAATGCTACTTTTGGTCAGAGGTGTTTTTATATTATTGATACTGTTCTCTTACGGAACTGCAGTTATTAAGTCATTTCTATATTTGATACTATGTTCCAGCTCATTTCTCTAAATCCCAGTTCCTTTACTAAACACCTTTGTGTATGAAAAGTGCTAAAAGGTTTCCTTTGAATCAGTCACTGGCTCACCTGAGCTCTTTTCAGATGCTTTGCATTCAGAATAGCCTTCTGAGCTAGGATCCACCAACCAACCCTAAAATTCCTAAGTTACTGAGTTGCAGGTATGTCAGCCTCTGGAAGAGCTTTTATATAACATAAAACTACAGCATTCACTGTCATCCTATCTATGTGTGTATTGAGTATCTTTACCTAGCATCAGAAATGACACTAACGTGAAAATGAGTAACGATATTCTTTTGAATACTGCTTTTCAGGAGCTTAGTGGCTGAAGCTCCTTGAAAGCCTAGGCATAAATACTATTGATAAAACCACAAAAATTGAACTAAGTTGTAAAATTTAAGACCTAATACGACCCTTTATAAAATTTAATTATGAAGCGTATTCTACAGAAACACTATGCTCTTCTCTATATTCATGTTCCATTTTGCAATAGATAGCAGTATCATACAAATGAGTATGTGAAATAGGTACTGTTTTAAAAAATTATAATAAAATGGACACCTATATCCATGCCACCCAGCTGAGAAACAGAACATTATGTGAAATGTAAAAGCCCCAGTGTCTCCCTCCTAGATTGTATTGTTCTCTCTACAACCCCCTGCCCCCAAGACACAACTTTCTCTTAATTTTCATGTTAATCATTCCCTTTGCTTTTTCTTCTCTTTAGTTTTCCATTTATGTATGATAATCTTAAGTAAATAAATTGTTTACTTTTGAAAACTGAGTAACAAGTAAAATTGGAAGAATAAAGGAAAGTCAATATTGCTAATACAAGGTGGGGCAAAAGTAAGTTTACAGTTGTGAGTACACAAAACACAGTTTGTTCTAGTATCATTATTTATTATTGATTGTATTATTTTCCATATGAACAGCTGTAAACCTGCTTCCGCTCCACCCTGTGTATGATGAAAGCTCTCAAGAGAAGATAAGGTGAAGCGTCTCTAGGGAACGAAGGATCTTAGTTCACCCAGCTTACCTGAGCGTTTACAACAGCCCATCTGGGCAAGGTCAGAGGGAGTCCTGGGAAGCATGAGCCTCGCCCTTGCATGGCTTCCGGTTGGGCTCTGGCGCAGTGCTGGATACCTGAAGGGAATGGGCGTTTATTCTTTCTCCTCTGAAGCTCACCATGCCTTATCCCCAGGCCTCAGAGCAGATCAAAGCAGAACCATTGAGCAGGGCTGAGGTGAATTCCTTTGGCTGCTCCGGAAAGCAGGGCATCGAGGAGAGAGCAGAGATGCAGTCGGGACAAAGCAAGGAAATGAAAGAACTGAGGGCAGGCTCACCTGGGCATTTGGTCCTCAGTTAACGAGATGGTAAAATGGCAGTGTGATCTCCGAGGTGATGTCTGTGCACCCGTTGTCCTGACCGCTCCTCTCACCACCTTCCCTGGGGGTTTTCAGTGTCTCTCCTCTCTACTAATCTCAGGTATCTCGTTTCTTCTCTCTTGTTCTACCATTTCATCTTGGTAGATAGATTACATCTCTTAGTAGATTCTAATTCCTGACTGATGGTTTGGCTAGATACAGAATTCTAAGCTGGGAATCATTTTTCCTTCATATTTTAAAAAACAGTTCTCCATTGTCTTTCATCACTCCCCACCTCCCACCCACGAGGTTATGGAATCTTTTCTGTCTTCAGTGTTCTAGGAATTTCTAACCATGTGCCGTGTTCAGGGCCTGATTTCATTTGGTGTGCTGCATTCTTAATCGGGCCCTTTCAATTTGGTAACTTATGTCCCTCAGGTCTAGAAAATTTTCTTGACCTCATTGACCATTTCCTCTTCTGCTCGCCTCTTCTCAGCCCGACAATTTCCTCTTGCTAGAACTTCTGTTAGTTGGATGTTGGGTGTCCTGGTCTAGTTCTCTAATTCTCTTATCTTTTTCCCCTTCTGTTCCTTTTGCTTAACTAGAGATTTTATTAGTTATCGTCCAACCCTTCTATTTAGTTTTGCAGTTTGTTTCATGTGTTTACCTTTTAAGAGTTCTTTTTATAGTCTCTGAATAGTCTTTTTTTCCCCTTTTTCATGGAATTGTATTCTTAGTTCTTGGTTATAACATCTTATCCTTTGAGGATAATGAGCTTTTGCAATTTTCATTGTCCTAATATCTGTTTCCTCCAGGTTGCTTTTTTTTTTTTCTCTTTGTTCTGGTTTCTGTATTTTAATGTAAGAAGTTTTTTGGTGTGGTCTTTGTTTTGACTGTCTCATGATTAAAAGGCTTGTACTAAAAGCCAGTGAGAAGCCGGGAGCACGTTGGTGAGACTTATCACCTTTAACCTTCACTGTAGGATGATCTGGGTGGTATGTTGGGGAAACCCCATGGCCAGTGCTTTCAGGCATCTTCTCTTCAGCAGGTCAGATTCTTGAGAGAAGAGCATAGCAATTTTTGCCTGAAGAATAAGTGTATGGCTGCCAGCCTTCTTGGAGCCACGTAGGGGTAGAAGTCCCTTCATTCAGTTGTGAGAAAGCAGACTTATTTCCCTGTTTTCTTGTCCTCAAACATGACCTGTGTCTCCCAGTCCACAAAGCCTCTGTATCCTCATTTCTGGTGAAAATAAACCTCTAGATATCTCCACCGGTGAGAGGGAGAGTCTCCTTATCTCCCAGTGGCGTGGAGCTGAGGAACAGCCTTAGGCAGTACTTCTCAAACTTGAATGTGCCTAAAGTCACCTGAGGTCTAAATGTGGGGTGGAGCCTGAGATGCTGAGCATCTACCAAGCTTCCTGTAATGCTGGTCCTGGTCCAAGATGGGATCACTCTTGAAGTAGCAAGGAGCTAGGGATCTCACTGCTGTTCCAACAGCTTTTCACCTAGTCCTTCTTATTGTAGCTGTACTCCCCACCCCCCACCCCACCCCCAACTCCAATTCTAGAGCTCCCTGCGCAACCTCTTTCAAGGATTCTTCAGTGTACATGGGCTTCGTTCACAGCTTTACTTGACTTGAAGGACGGCTTTTTCACATTGGCTGAGTCACTTAACACTGGTCCCTCGGCCTCTGGCTTCCAAAATCTCGTCTTCTCTCCATTTCCTGCTATTTTGTGAGTTTATGTCTTTTAAAAAAATTCTTTAGTTTTAGAGAGTTTCAGGGACGGGCAAACTTAGATAATGTGTGTTCTGCCATATTGACCCTAACTATAACCACCTGTTAAAATATTTTCCTGAAGTTTGATTATATGAGCGTAAATAGAACCTGATTTATGATAAATAACTGCTATTTTAAGCCTCTAGGTCTTTTTTTTTCTTTATAACAAGGAGTATTCTTTATTTCTCTTTCCCTCCTTTGTCTATCTGTCAAACTTTTACGCGGTCCTCAAGACCCATCTCAAATAACCGGGCCCGACGAAGCCCCTGGGGTCTCCAAGCCATTAAAGCCTGTGTGTTCTCAGAACTTTAACATATGACATAACCCACTGCTTATACAACAATAGCTTTTCCAAACAACTGGGGAGGCTCCTCAGGGCTAGGGCTTGTACTTCTATAGCTCAGTGTCCAGTGCATATTAGGAGTTTATAGCTGTTTAATAAGTGAACTAATTTCTGTGTCATGTCTTTCTCCTTTGTCTTCATTTTCCGTCTGCTCTCTTCATCTCTTCTTCTGTCTATTAAGAGGCCCTTATATTTCTTATCTGTTCTCATAACCAGTGGAAATTAATGTCCCATATTGTTAACTTCAAAAGGAAATTGGTAGAATAAATAATACTTCTCAATTTTTAAATACTACCTAATTAAGTGAAATAGATTTAAGTATATAAACTCCATTTGATTTTTCTCCCCAATTCTAAGGACTGTTAAAAGACAAACATTTCCTCAGCTCTAGATAAAGGTATAATTCTTATCAACTAATGGAATTATCTGTCAAAGGAGTTTGAATCTGAATTATCTAGATAAACAAATATTTTTGTTTGCCTGATAAAAAAATAAAATGTCTATTAAAATCTACATGTCTTCATTCATGCTTCCAGCCTAGAAAACTCTCTTTTCAAAGCAAATGTACTGCTGTCAAAATTTAACTCAGAGGTATGTTGCTAACCCCATAATGTAGTCAGTGTAAGATTTTAATAGTGGAATCAAGAAAAATACTTAATCACACACTCGCCATTTCTGTCTCAGTGTGAATTCCAGACATTGTGTCAGTTATTTCAACATCTTGTAGTCCAAGTAATTTTTCATCCTTTAAAAGAAACATTGAAAGAAATTGGCACAACTGTAATAGAATAAACAATAAAATTAATTAATTTATAAAAAGGAAACATTGAAATACCCCTCAAATTGAAAATCTAGAAATAGTTGCATTATTTAACTAAAGAGTATGTTTAAGTAGTAATTTAAAACTAAGAAGTTTTGACATTAAGCTACCATAACCATGCTATATTTTGATTCCATTGAAATGACACAGAATCTTGGCTTTTTGCATCAATTTGCATTTTAGTATTATTTTAAAAATATTTTTCACACCTATAATATAAGTGGGTTTTTAAAAGTGGTTTAATTAATGTAGCCTTTAGGAAGTACCAGGTTGGTGTTATAGCATAAATATTCAGTGAAGATTCTGAAAGTGAATCTTAAGTTTGTAATTTCCTACAGCTTGTTACTGGTCTAGAATTTTTTCTTTTTCAATTCACTGTTTTGCCCTCTATTTATTAATAACAGTCTCACGGATGTCCTCTTTCTCTACATATATTTCAGAAACTGTCAATAACAGCATGAATATAAATGGGGACATTGATTCTGGTTAATCCTTTGGTCTTCATTTTCTTTGATAAACAGGTATTGATTTCTGACTTTTGAAGATGGATGAAGGTGTAGAAATTTCAAGTGATGGAAATTCTCTGATCAAAGCAGTCCATCAGAGCCGGCTTCGCCTCACAAGACTCTTGCTAGAAGGAGGCGCCTACATCAATGAGAGTAATGACCGTGGGGAAACGCCCTTGATGATCGCTTGTAAGACCAAACATGTTGACCCCCAGAGCGTCAGTAAAGCCAAAATGGTTAAATACCTGTTAGAAAACAATGCCGATCCCAACATACAGGACAAATCTGGGAAAACCGCTTTGATGCATGCTTGCTTAGAAAAAGCTGGTCCTGAAGTTGTTTCCTTGCTCCTGCAGAGTGGGGCTGACCTCAGCTTGCAAGACCATTCTAGCTACTCGGCCCTCGTCTACGCTCTCAATTCAGAAGATAGAGAAACGCTGAAAGTTCTACTTAGTGCTTGCAAGGCCAAGGGAAAAGAGGTCATTATCATAACAACAGCGAAATCGCCCTCTGGCAGGCACACTACCCAACAGTACTTAAATGTGCCTCCTTCGGATATAGATGGGTGTCATTCTCCGTCCACCTGTGCCACTCCTTCAGAAATAGACTTAAAAACGGCCTCATTGCCATTTTCACATTCTTCTGAAACGGAAATGACTCTTTTTGGCTTTAAAGATCTGGACCCTTCAGGAAGCTGCGAGGACACCTGGGACCCAGGCTCCCCTGTCAGGAAGCCTGCTGTGGCCCTTAATGGGCCCAAGCCACCCCAGGGTCCACCCTGGATCAAAAGCACGCCCTCATTAATGCACCAGAAGAGAGTGGCCTCTTTGCAAGAGGAGCTCCAGGATATTACTCCAGAGGAAGAATTATCCTACAAAACCAATGGGCTGGCACTTTCCAAGCGATTCATCACTAGGCACCAAAGTATTGACATAAAAGACACCGCACATTTGCTAAGAGCCTTTGATCAGTCCAGCTCAAGAAAGACACCATATGATGAAATAAATTATCAATCGTTTTCTTCAGAAGGAAATCAGCAATGCGTTGAAATCCCTGTTGACCAGGACCCAGACTCTAACCAGACAATATTTGCTTCCACCTTGAAAAGTATAGTTCAGAAAAGAAACTCAGGGGCAAATCACTACAGCTCTGATTCCCAGCTCTCAGCTGGTCTAATCCCTACAAATTTAGAAGAGGGCAAAGCAACCCTTACAGGAAAGAAAAAGATCCTCTCACCATCTCCATCCCTGTTGACAGGGTCCAAAGAATTGCTGGAGAATATCCCCCCAGGTCCCCTGAGCAGGAGGAATCATGCAGTTTTAGAAAGGCGCGGTTCTGGAGCTTTCCCTGTAGATCACAATACTACCCAAACCAGACCGGGATTTCTGCCACCCTTAAATGTGAACCCTCACCCCCCCATCCCAGATCTCAGTGGTAACAAGATTTCCAGCCTTCTTTCTTGTGGTCAAAAAGTGCTTATGCCAACAGTTCCTATTTTCCCTAAAAGTAAAAAAATGTTGTTAAGGAGACAGTCATTGCAAACAGAACAAATTAAGCAGTTAGTAAATTTTTAAGATATGGCTAGAAACACATTTTGTTCAATTGTCGGTATCAAAGAAATACAGAACTAGAAAAGAAATCTCAAATGTTCATTTTTTAAAATCTTGTAATTGGCTAACCAATAATGGTTAGGGGGATCAACATGTACTGTGTATCATAGTGGGCACTGTGGACACAACTAATACATAGTTTCTGATAAGGGTCTAAAAATATAAGCTGTTTTTCTCAAAACCTCCAAGTTTTTAATCTAAACAAAAATCAACAAAGAGGGAAGGTTACATGTGTTGGAGATAACCAAATTTTTTTCAGACTTGCCAAATATTTTAATAGGAAACATTTTCTTCAATTTTTTTTAACATCTCAAGTCAGTAAATAAGATTGTATTTTTCCATCATGCCAAAAGCATTGAAAAAAACAACACAGTAACAGTTGTAAGATGTTCTATGAGCTTAAGCTACAAAGAAAGAATGAACTAATTCTTTAAAAATGTTGACTGCAGGTAGATGAAAATCTAATTAAAATTTAATTGTCAACCATTATAGTAGACTGGAGTGGCTAATATTCCTGTTGTCAGCTTAATTCGTGTTATATGGCAGATTAGAGTTTTACATGCTAGTGATAATCTGTGCCAAGTGTATACTGTTTTTTTGCTTTGTTTTGTTTTTTTAAACATTTAAACAAAAATGTTATGTAGTACTTTCTCCATATCCTTTAATTCCTATTATTCTTTTTGAAGACTATCCATAGGTTCCCAATACAAAGATATTTTAAAGTTAAAAAGCATTCTTCTTTACTTATATCAAATTATTCTTGTCTTTCTTAAAAAAAAAAATCCCAAAAGTTTGAGATTTATCACAAATAGAAACTAAATGCCTGCTTCATTTTAGAAAAGAAAAACTGATTATTAGATTAGCTTACATTAGCTAAAACTAAGAAAACCAGTAGAAACTTAATTACAAAATGTACTAAATATTCAGTCAGTATTAAACTATCTTTTTATTTCTGATATATAATTATTAGAAATTTCTATAACAAGGATATATAAGGATAATTTCCTTAGTGTGACATTCCCATCATGTAGTATTTTAGGACCTGTGAATAATTTTTAACAAAAAAATACCATGCTACTATTATAAAATATTGTAGAATTACTGTTATCTATACAATTTCAAAATATGGCATTTATGCAAAGAATCCATATTTCAATCTAACAGTTTACAACAAAGAATAAAACTGTACAAAACCTTGAGTGTATTTGATGTCATATACGTTACTTCTTTGCCATCTGTCAGTGAGCAGATATCTTAACAATTGAGATGATGCTTTTCGTAGTAATTGGATATAAGCAAGTTGTAATGTAGATAGTAATTATTTAATTTCTTGTGGCTTTTACTTGAAAAAAAGCTGGAGGTGTTCCATTTAATGTTTTGAAGAACAATGATATTAATTATATTAGAAATATTTTTGATTCGGAACTTAGAATTGTACCTGATGTTTATAGGTAATTAAACCCTTTTTGCAAGTGCTAGTATTGAGAAGAGTGCTTGGCTTTACAGGATACAGATTGGAAGAATATGTTCATACAATGGTACCAATAAAGATTTAAAATTTCATTTTGATTATCCCTGGCTTTTATTTATCTCAAATACCAATAGTATTTCAACATAATCTCAAGAGAAATTGTGCCATGTATGTTACTTTGAGTAAATAGAAAACTAAGAATAACTTTTGTTGCTATTCTCATCCCAACATGAAAAAAATAAATTTAATAGGATTAAAACTTTATTGGCCATATTTGGAAGAGTGTGTGGCCGTTTGTTAACCCTAAGAACCCTAGGGGCTGAGGTTGGGTGAGCCTAGCTGTGAAGCCATCCCATGGGTCTTTTCACTCCATTGTGGAGAACATATCACTGGCATCCCCATGGAAAGTCACAGATGTTTGCAACAGGAATCAGATACGTATGCAGGTCCAGAGGTGTTTGGTTTTGGTTTTTGTTTAGTTTCTGAATTTACAAAGTAGCAACAGACTCTCACAGCCAGTGTTTCAATTAAATTTTTTGAACTCATTACGTTCTTTCACCCAAAGGAAAGGATATAGAAGGGGCAATGACCAGTCTTAATGAAGACATACAGCAGCAACCAAACCCAGAACAGCCCAGCACCAGATTTAGCCAGACTGGTCCCTCAAGTGTGCAGAAGCATAGAAACAAAATAATCTCCTTAGAAGACAGGAAAGGGGTGAGCCCCTTTCAAGCCCTGGTTGTTTTTACTCTGATAGTGGGATTGTGAGGGTCGTTTAATTATGTAAAATTATTTTTTAAAAATATAAAGTGTTAATAGCAATTACTTGGGAGGGTCCTTTAAGAAACTGGTAGAATTAAATTAAAAAGAACATCCTTTCTAAAGTTTGAATGGGAGGTGAGTGAGTTCAGGGGCAGGCAGATGGGGTTTTCACTTTTCTTTCCAAGTTGGTATCAGCAATACCAACTAATCACCGAGAAGTATAGCTACGCCTGGCTTTTGTCCTATCCTGTTTGGGTTGGTGGCACTACCTGACCTTCTGTTACTCAAACCAAAAACACATATGCTAGATTCTTCCCTCTCCCCTATCTTCTCTATTCGACTTGTTAAAAAACTTACAAGTTCTTTCTTCTTAACTTTTCCTCTATCTCTGGAGCCTTTACACCCCCTTTTGTTACCACCTGAACTCAGGGCTTCATCGCCTTGCACCCTGATAATTCCAAGTTGCCTTCTCTTGCCATTTTCAGCACCTCGCTCATTCATCCCTCCTTAAAATGGTGTGATGATCCCATGGCCTAAGAGAAAAGGAGCATACTCCCTTCCATGGAAAATGAATCTGGCCCCTGCCTAAATGTCCTGCCTCAGTGCAGCATTTCCACAAATTTTTAAAAGTGTTGATTTATCTATTTAGAGAGAGGAAAAGGGGTAGAGAAAAACATTGATTTGTTGTTCCACTTATTTATGCATTCATTGGTTGATTCCTGTATGTGTCCTGACCAGGGATTGAACCCACAATCTTGGCCTTATCAGGACAATGCTCCAACCAAGCTACCTGGCTAGGGCCAGAGTTTTTTTTTGAACATGTCAGATCAAGTTTTTCCCCATTTAGAGTTCCTTTGCTCCTGTGCCCCTGCCTGAAAGGCCCTTCCCTCCTTAAGTCTACCTGGTGAATATTCAAGACACAGCTTAAGCATTTTCTATCAATTAGAACAGACCGCTGTCTTCTCACCACAACCTGGTGTATAGTTCCATCATAGGAGTAATAGCAAATATGCAACATACTATTTACAGGTCTCTCTTTCTCTAGTAGGCTGTACGATCCTTGAAGAAGGAATTATTTCTGAATTATTGGCACAGCTATAGCACAAAAAACGTCAAGGAGGTACCAGGCCCATGGTACCCCACAGAGTTCTTACTAAGTCCTAATGTCATGTGTCTCCCTCAAGAAAGACATGAGTGACTGAACAAATTATGGTCTCTGGACCAAAGGATGGTGGATACAAAGAAGAGAGACAAGCATCACAGTAAAGAGTGAAAGAGTGACGTTCATGTGGAACACCAGAGCACAGACCTCCAGCTCCTGCTGCTGAGGTCCCAAGAGCTCCCGGGTCCTGCCCAGCTTCTCCCAAGACCTGGTTATCAGCTCTTCTTGGTTATCCTGTCACTTACTCATTACACAATACTTACATTTTCTAGATAAAGAAGTTCTTAACTCTCAACTATTTTCCTTGCATTGAATTAATGTACAATTGTAAACACAGGATATGCTCCAAGAAGCTAGGTTCACATCTTAAACTTCAAGGTGAGAGAGAATTATTTTTCTACATAGTCACTAGGCACTTTTTTTTTTCATTACAAGGAAAAAACCCCAAGACCCTAGCTCCAACTAACAAGCAAATAAACTGTTCTAAATAACTTTTAACAATTTCCCACTGGATAAATGACTATATGCCTGGCTAATTAGCAGTTACATCACTCTTACAGAACCATACAGTACTGTACTTTTAAAAGCTGATTTTTTTTTTTAAACAATTGGATCTCAAACCAAAGACTCTTATAGGAGGAATAGGACTGCTCTGCCAGGCTTGGGAAATAACGCTCAAATGTTATGTGATCTCAACACGAATCCATTAGACCCAATAACCTGAAGGGGGAAAATGGGTGGTACTTAACCTTTGACTTATTTTGTGCCTGTAAATTCCTTCCCAAATATCGCCTATATATAAATGCCCATAAAGACATCAAATTTTACATATATAGTATGACATACATATTTTGCAGCTTATTTTTAAAAATCAATTTATAGTTCTTCACAAATTTGGAGAATGAGCCCTTTGTCAGAATGTTAATGATGTCTTCTGATGAGCAATTTTAGATTTTGATAAAGCCCATTAATCATTTTTTTACGGTTACTCTTGTGTTATAAAAAATCATTGCTTACTCCAAAGTAATGAAAACATTCCCTCTTATTTCCATCTAAATGCTTTATAATTTTAGTTTTTACATTTAGGCCCAGGATGCTACTCAAATTACTTCGTATGGTGTTAAGTATGGATATTTTTCCATATGGATAGCCATTAAAATTTTACTTCTCAACTGATGTTTTCTAATTCTTTTACATATTTTTGTTCCTGAGAACATTATAAAACATACCCTTAAATCTTAATCTAAGTGGCTGTCAGTTGATATATTTATTAATATAAAAGGGTTTCACCTTTGGACTAATGTTTTAAAACTATTATCAAGGATAAGATAATCAAGTAGTAAAAATAATCTGGACAAAAGAATTTTATTTCAATCTTCATCAAAATGCAGTTCATTTATAAATTCAACTCTCTTTATAAAAGTAAAGCATGGTCATTTAATAAAATTTATAAATTAAGTATTTTTTACTATAATTTTAAGAGCAATTCTCTGTTGCAGTTGTTGAATTTTATAATTATGAAATTGTAACATTTGCTTTTGGCAAGCAAAGACAGAAAGTGAAGTTTTAGGTGTTATTTGACAAATAGTACTGCATTCAGTTGGAGCTAAAATTTAAAGTGGAAATATGGTTGTTTTAAGTGTTTATATATCTACAATGTTTTGTGTTATATCTCTTACTGTTGTCTACCTACAATGGATATGAGCCTTGCTATGTGATAAGCATTGATCTAGATGCCTCCATCACAGAAATCTCCCTTAAATTTCATAAAAACCTGTAAGAGAATCCTCATTCTTTTCTCCCCGCATTTTATCGATGAGGAAACCAACACTCAAAGAGGTTAAATATTTCCCCAAATCTGTAAGGGACAGAGGCAGGGGTGGGGCTGGCTGTAAGGGAAGTCTGTCTGAATTCAAAACCCAAGCTCTTTTCTCTAAATAAAACTACTTTTATTCTCTGGGAGAAAATGATCCATAAACAAAAAGGTAAATTACATTATTGGTAAATTACTTTTCAATAAATCAAAGAAACAAGGTTTTTCTGAGTACATTCCTCAGGGCTATGCCAGGCACTGTACAGGACAGTTAAGAGCGCTCCGTTACCATGAAGGACTTTATAATCTAGTTGAGGAGACAACATGTATGACATAATTAGTGAGCAATATTAAATAGTTAAAATAAACTGATGAAGTAAGATCTAGAGACCACTGATGTAGGCATTTTTGAAGTGAAGGACTGGGCTGGTGGGCACTGTGTCCACTTGTACAGTGAGAGTACATTCGGAGGGGTTTTGAAAGAGTAGAAGTCAATACAGCTGAATTTAAGAAGCCTCTGGAGTTTTTTGGTTTGGCATAAACAAAGAGGTGTTTTAAATTTTTTTCTTCAGCAGAAATACTCAAGGTATCTCTGAGCATGAAAGATGATATCATACAGAAATAATTTTTCAAATTCTAGGAGCAAAACAGGGGCCTGAACTAAGGGGTACTGGTGAGAATCTTGAAAATTAAATAATATATTACCAGGGTTAAATTCTGCTCTTCAAAAGTATCTTGCTCACTATAGAGAAGATAAAATGGTGGAAACAAAGAAAACAAAGATATACATAGCAGCCAGCATGCTCCCAACATGATGGAAATCTAGATCCATATAATTTAATTTATGCTGTTTTCAGTAAGTGGACTTGATTTTGTTATGAAAAAGCTGTTCAGCCCTGTGATAGTTAAAAACATTTTTGAAGGCTTCTTACTCTTTCGTAGTCTCTGAAATACCAGTTCTCCAGGAAAATGGGAAGAGTGTGCCACAGTTTTGTGGAATCTCTGGAATGTAAATGCCAACAAAATGGGACTCATACTTGTATTATGACACATGGATTCTTTCAGTTATCTACAGTATATCAAAATTATTTTTTATAAAAGGTTTTAAAATATAATTTTCCTAAATTATTATTAGACTAGGTCCACTAAAATCTTTTCTTTCCAAATCTTTTAGGTAAATACAATAATATAAGGACATATACCTAATATATAGTGAGTACTCAATGTTTTTTGATTTGATGAATTGAAGCATAATTCAGTCCTCATAATTTATTGGTAATTAATTCAGACCAAAGCAGAGAAAGATTATGAAACCAAAACATGAAATAATTTAGAAGAATCTTCTTCTTAGAGAATGATTCCAATGGCTTGTTTAAATTCACGATTTTGTGGTTCCAAGATATCATAGAAAACTTGGTTTTTGTCAAAATGTTCTCTAATACAAAGTAAATCTTCAACAGAATAGTTATCATTTTTTCCAGTCCAAATAGTCAGGCTGTACCTGCATTAAAAAAAAAAAAACAAAAAACAACAGAATTATATAGTTAAAAGGTAAAAACCAGTGAGGAGGAATTCCAATAAGCCTAAAATTACTCTCATCTGTCTCTAATCCAAATGCACACATATGAAAAAAATTAATTAGCAATGGTGGAATTATACTTTCCTTTCATTCCTTCATCAACATTAAAGGGACTAGAGAGAAAAAAATTAACATAACTATTGCTAAATTAGCTAGCTGCTGTATCTGAATTACAGGAATGTTTAATGGCTTTAGAAACCCAGACTGATAGCACTGAAAATGGGCCAAATTTTGGACAAAAGAATTGAGGAGGCTGTACTGCTGATCAAGGAATCTGTTGTCTACATAAAGACTGTAGCTCTAACCTGGGTTTCTTCAGTAGCCTGACCAGAGTCAAAGGCACAACTGGAAGGAACCGTGAAGACACGCAAATGTCACTGACGTCCCCAATATTTGTATTCACTTATAAGTGGCCCCATTATTCCTTCTGGAGGAGATTGTATGAGATACAAGAATGCCAAGAGATGTCATTAAGAATGTCAAATCGAGTAAATTTAGGTCCATTTCTGGAGTTAAAAAACAATTTATATACACACACACATAGATATAATTATATATATACACATATATATGCAGATTTATTATGGATATAAGAATATGCTCAGAATTTTAGTGTTAAATTGTGTTTTAATTTCTTCCAGTGACATTACTATTACATTACCCTTATTACACCAGAGTCTAGAGAAATGTAAAGCTGTTAAGTAGTTTCATATTTATTTTCCCCATAAACATGTCAGAATCCAGGGGGAAATCTCCAAAGCTTTTTTTCTAGTAATGATAAAAAATAGTCTAACCAAGACATATACTCTTGTTATATTGACACATTCCAGTCCTTAATGGTGACAGCATTCTGAAATGTAACCGAGGGAAGTATTTTGGGTTTTCTTCCACAGCAGTATTTTGTGACAAATCAAAAAGAATTCTTAAACTACAGCTGAGAACACAGAAAAGAAAAAAGGAGAATTACTTTAAAAACCTATATTTTTTGCTAAAATGGCATCCTTACTACTGTATTTGAGCACCATGGTGACAAAGCTTATCAGAGACACAGATATGAACTGAGGTTAAAAGAAGAGCTTTCCAAGTTATTTTGTGTCTTTTAATCTCCCCTCTGTTGTATTTAGACTGAAATAGGAAAAATAAAATTGCCTAAGTGTATCTTAAATTGTATTCCTTCAAATCAATTCTCAGGTTTTATTTTTAAAGCCCTTTGTATTGTGAAATAAGATATATAGAAAATGCATAAAACAGAAACGTACATTTTAACAAATCATTACAAAATGAACTCCAGTGTAACCAAAACAAACCAAGAGCTAGAACATCACCCGCACCTGGAGGGGCACCTTTTTATTTATTTATTTATTTATTTTTTAAATTAATTTATTTACTTTTTAAATACATTTGTCTCTGCCTTCCCCCCACCTCTTTCCCTTGCCCCCTCCCACCTTCCCTCCCTCAGCTCTTCCCCTTTGGTTTTGTCCATGAGTCCTTGCTATATGTTCCTTGACTTTCCCCTTCCCTTCCCTTTCCCTGCCCCCCCCTTCCCTCTTGTCTCCGTTGATTTTTTTTCCTTTCAGTGTTGCTGGTCATATTTTCCTTGCTTCTTTGCATTGTTGGTTAGGTTCCGCTTATAGGTGAGATCATATGGTATTTGTCTTTCGCCCCCTGGCTTATTTCGCTTAGCATGATGCTCTTCAGTTCCATCCATGCTGTCGCAAAGTTTAGTACTTCTTTTTTTCTTTCTGCTGCGTAGTATTCCATTGTGTATATGTACCATCACTTTTTGATCCAGTCATCTACTGATGGGCATTTAGGTTGCTTCCAACACTTGGCTATTGTAAATTGTGCTGCTATGAACATTGGGGTGCATAGGTTCTTTTGTATTGGCGTTTTGGTGTTCTCAGGGTATAATTCCAGCAGGGGAATTGCTGGGTCGAAAGGCAGTTCCATTTTCAGCTTTCTGAGGAAATTCCACACTGCTTTCCATAGTGGCTGCACCAGTCTGCATTCCCACCAACAGTGGACTAGGGTTCCCTTTTCTCCACAGCCTCGCCAGCACCTGTTGTTTGTGGATCTGTTTATGATGGCCATTCTGACCAGTGTGAGGTGGTACCTCATGGTGGTTTTGATCTGCATTTCTCTGATGGCTAGTGATGCTGAGCATCCTTTCAAATGCCTCTGGGCCCTCTGTATCTCCTCCTTGGAAAAGCATCTGCCCAGGTCCTTTGCCCATTTTTTGATTGGATCGTTTGTCTTCTTGGGGTGGAGTCGAGTGAGTTCTTTGTATATCTTGGAGATCAAACCTCTATCTGATGTATCATTAGCAAATATATTTTCCCAAACGGTTGGCTCCCTTTTCATTTTGCTGATGTTTTCTTTTGCTATGCAGAAGCTTCTTATTTTGATGAGGTCCCACTTGTTTATTCTTTCCTTTATGTCCCTTGCTTTAGGAGACATATCAGTGAAAAAATTGCTGCGTGGGATATCTGAAAGTTTCCTGCCAATGTTCTCCTCTAGGACTTTTATGGTGTTGCGACTTATATTTAAGTCTTTTATCCATCTTGAGTTTATTTTTGTGTATGGTGTCAGCTGATGATCCAATTTCAATTTTTTGCATGTAGCCGTCCAGCTCTCCCAACACCATTTGTTGAAGAGGCTGTTATTGCTCCATTTTATGCTTCTGCCCCCTTTGTCGAATATTAGATGTCCATAGAGACCTAGGGCTTATTTCTGGGCTTTCTATTCTGTTCCACTGGTCTATGGGTCTGTTCTTGTGCCAGTACCAGATTGTTTTGAGTATGGTGGCTTTGTAGTAGAGTTTGATGTCCGGTATTGTGGAGGGGCACCTTAATGTCATTGCCCAATCACAACCTTGCTCTCCCCTGGAGTCCTCGCTGCCTTGGCTAGCACTTCCTTGCTTTTTTTAATTTACCAACTCTATATCCACCCCTAAACAATACAGTTTAATTTTTGCCTGTGGAATCATATGGTATATAATACTATTCTTGGTCTTGCTTCTTTTGCTAAATATTATTTGTGAAGCTTAGCCAGGTTGAAACACGTAGCTTCAGTTTATTTACTTTCTTTGGAAAACAGTTTAGCATTATCTACTAAAGTTGAAAATATGGATACCCTATGACTTAAAAATTCTGTTCCTAGAATTCCCTCCTGATAGAACCTTTCTAAATGCAGACACATGTGCACCATAATGTGCGTGTGTGTGTGTGTGTGTGTGTGTTCTCAGCAGCAATCGTCATAATAGTGAAAACTATGAAACAATATAAATGTCATTCAGTAACAGAAGAAATAAATAAGTAGTGATATACAAATAATAGAATGATAGTTCTTTATAAGTTTTATATTAGAGCTCTTCAGAGTTACAAAAATCTCCCCTAATTCTGTGCCTAACCAGTTCATGCCCTTCAGGGTATCTTCTATTGGAAAGAATTTCTGAATTGTAATGTATTCAAATTACTCAACATATCCTTTATGGCTAGTGATTTTGCATCTTGTTTAAGAATTCTTTCCCATACTCAATGTTATGAAGATATTCTCTAGTGATATATTCCATTAAAGCTTTGTTGTTTTACCTTTCATATTAAAAGAAAAAAAAAAACCCTCTGGAAGAGATGGGAGTTAAGAAAACCCAAAATTAAGGATAGAGGAAAACCAATCAACAACAACAAAGAAGAATTAGGCACAGATATGAAAGAACTCACTTAGTGCAATTCCATGGAGGGAAAAGGCACAAGGGAGTGTCACGCTGAAGGGGGTGACCGGCAGTACTTAACTAAATGTTGCCGAGGTTAAAAATTGGACTTGAACAAAGGGTGATCTTCAAATGAGAAATTTCAGGAGGGTGACTGGCTACCCTCCTGAAATTCCTAAGAAATTCCATTCCTAAGAAATGGAAGATAAGAAAATTGAGACAGAATATAGAGAAAGAAATGGAATGGTGGGAACATCCTATTTGGACACAGCAGCCTAAAGTCAGCACTGCTTCCTTTTTCGCCTAAGAATCATCCCCAAGCAGCAAAAAGAACAAAAGAATTAAAATAGAAGCCCAATATTCAATGAAATTAAGAAAGAGTTGAGACTGAAAATTACAAAACAGGTTGAAAAGATCTCCAGGAGCAATAGATTAAGGCCAGATGGGTATAGGAGGAGGTGGCGTTTGCCCGTGCATAAGATGACAGAGGAAGCCTACAAAAGACACAGGTGAGGGGCATATTCTACCTAAGGACTTTGCAGAGTGGCAAGTGGGATCTTCCCTGAATTACGTTTGACCCCAAGAAGCAGTGGAGACAAGGGAAGAGTTTACACAAGAAAGCCAAAGGGAATAAGACTGCTCCCTGCAGCAACCCAAAATTTTAAATTTAAGAGACAGATGAAAGATTTTACTGGAAGATATCACAACTGCCTATCTGCACTGACTGGAGAGAAGTTAAACAGATGCACACGTGAGACTATCTGGGCCAAAAGAACCATAGTCCGGGTTCCTCTAGAATATGAACTTCAGATAAGTTGCTGGTCCAAGAAAAACTCACCTTCTTTAAAGCAGAGTAGTCAAAATAAATTGGGTAGAAGTTTCATACAAGAGAGTACAACAAAATATAAGAAAAAAACAAATGGCAGATGGAATAATAGAAACCTCATCTTTAAACAATTATCAGATAGCTGACACAGATGTAAAACAAACAAACAAAAAGAATGCCACAAAGCAGATGAAAACCACAACCAAAAATGTTTTAAATGGTGCAACTGCCTCTGAAGAAAGAACACAAAGCACAGATATCACTCATCGGAGAGTTCAATAAAAAAGATGGAACATTAATTGGCGATCTTAGGAAAAAAGTAGATAATACTATTACAGAAGTAAGGTGAAATCTGAAGGTATACAAGTGAGAAGAGACATTGTTGAA